AGTTGCATATGGAATACTAAATTTATGAGCGCTAGGCACATGACCGGGTTGACAGAGGTTTCAAACATAGATTACTGTTTTGTTACTCTCTGTATGGATTATAAATTCCAGCAATAAAAAACAAATTTCATATATTTTTAGTATCAGAATTAGTTCCCGATAAGTGTAATAGAATCAGCTTTTAAAACTCAGATGCTTGCTTTGAAATGTAAGGAAATGTTTTCTGGTTAAATCATAATGTATGCATGAGGCTTGATTGAAAGAGTAACTTTTAAAAGTTTTCATTATAGAAATTAGTGCTTTGAAGGAACTTATCTAAGTAGTAAGTGCCCAAGCCTATTTTACTTTAAACATTTTAAATAACATCAAGGAGGACTCAATATTTATCAGTTACTTGTAATTTTCGTATGTATGTACATCTTTTATCTCGTTGACTCTTGATCATGGTTTTTGAAAAGTAATCGAAACAGCCATACATATGTAGAGCAAATAAAAAGCTAAATAAACTGGGTAAATATATTTTTATTCCATATACATACTTTTTGTTTTAGGAAAAGTTAAAAATTCATTGTTTTAAAATAGTTGTACAATAATAAACATAAAGGATAAATATAAAAATAGCCAAGTGTTATTTTTTTAAATATAATTGATCTAAGTTACATTATATGTACATTAAGCCTTTTGTAAATAATTTTATAAATTTTATACAATGTTAAAACATTGAAATTATTACAGTATAATATTTTAATAGTAGTTTAAAATATACATTAAAATTCTGAAGCTAAGATGAAGTTAAGGAAGTAAGGTGGAAGAAATTTTGTTTATTTTTCATAAATTATTCCCTTCCAGCAAGATAACAGTTATTTAATAGTAATAAAATACATATATCTGTTCTATAATATCAACTGGCGAATGTATTATATATAGTATTGTTGACACGGGATTTCCTGTTCATCTATCGCGGATGTAGCAAATTACATTATGGTTGCATTACTTGGCATTATAATTCTAGTTACCAACTTGAATATTCATAGATAGCTTTGATTCGGTGTAAATTTAAATGCATTTATTTTAAACTTGCTCTTGCAGGCTAATATAAACTTTGGTACGAAAATATGGTTGTATGTAGTCTCGAAGACAGTGGTGGCCTAGTGGTTAAAAGGCTTGGCTTTTATGCACGATGCCGCGGGTTCAATCCTGGCAAGTAACAATGTGATTTTTCCGAGTCATATGTACTTTCTAAGAGTATTTAGACTTCACTAACAGACGGTGAAGGAAAACATCGTGAAGAAACCTAGACTTACAATTTCACAATTATACGTTTGAAATCACCAACCCGTCTTGAGCAAGCGTGGTGATTAATGCTCAAACCTTCTCCATGTGAGAAAGAGGCCTTTGCTCAGCAGTTGGCTCTGATAGGCTGATGACATGTAGTCTCACTGTTATTTCGTGTGTACGTTTTACTAATTGTGTGAGGTATTTCTTTAAAAAGTTTTTATCGATGTCCTTTAAATAACAATAGGAAATGGTGAGTTATACAGCCGTTATTCAAAAGCTTGTTCTTCATTATTGCTCTATTGTTGAAAATCAATTTGAAGAAAAAACTATTGGCAGTTTTCCAGCAAACTTTCAGTATTGAAGTTTGAAGTTAAGTTATTTACGATCATGTAAACTAGGCTTTAAGTATAGTTTCTTGCTAATTTGTTGTTGATTTATTCATATATATATTCAATTCTTTCAGTACGTTTTAGTAGTTTTGAGTAATGTAATTTCTATAGTCGCTAGATCTATATTTAATTCCAGCAATTTTCTTACCATATTGTATTTGAAAAGTAACTTTATACGTAGAAATTATCCCAAGAAATTACAGTATAAAAACTAAAAAATTAAATTCACACACATTATCAGTACAAATAAAAAAAAACATTCATTATAAACTTTATTTATTATTTCAGTATTTTTAACCTTATACAAATATTAACCGCGTGAAACATTAAATATCCGATGCTCTCATGAATCATGATTGATCCGTTGTAACAATCCCGGTTTATTACGTAATTTAAAGCCTATCAAAGGAAACTGCTTTAAGATAAAAAGGATCGCTGAACTGTTTCTGTGTACTGTTTACATTTCTTTTGAAGCTAATTTAATTCTATTCGTACGTATGAGTTTGTTATGTTGTTTGTCTGTCTGAATGAATGTAAACGTTAAAACAACTAATAATTAATACATTTTGTTAAAGAAAAAAATTAAATAAATCCTACGCTCAATAGCAAAACTTATACGTTAATATTTAAAGTAATTAATTTATTTTGTACCACGTGAGTACACCTATAAGTCAGTTGGATATTCGTAATTTTTAAGAACTTGTTTTAATGTGTCAAAGATTCAGTAATTGAACAGTGCAAAAGTGAAAAATCTTGGACGTACTATTACCTATTTCTATATTATGTATGTTTTCATATATTATTTATTTTATATATTCAGCATAATTAAGGCAAAAAAATCGATAAGACAAAGACAAATAGACGAAGCGGTTTGAGGTGACAATTTAAATAAATGTAATCTGAAAACTCTTTAAAATTATGTCAAAAAAGCACATCATATAACAACATGAGACGAAACCTCTTAGCATTCAATGGATTCACCGTGCGGGTGCCGGGTCCATCGCGTTGCAGGGAGAGGAGCTTCAACAGTGCGTAAAATATGACAGGTGCAAAAGTAGTAATAATGTTATTCCTAACGTTTTCAAACGGTACACTTGTAGAAAGAAGCACTTGCAAGCATCCGTGCACACGAGTTCATTGATTTATAGAGTACTTTATGGAAATGCTTCTAGTAATGCTTTAGAACTCGTCAGACCTGGTAATGGGTTAAACATAAAATAAAAATTCCTGATTTTTATTTTACTTTATACAGTTTCGTGACAAATTCTGCATTAGTTACTTGACTTATATAAGAAGTTGAGGAGAACTAATCGAATAATAAAAAGAAAGTGAGTAAGATATTGAATTAAACTATAAATCTTGATTAAAACAGCTAGTCCTAATTCGCTTCGATGCGTACATAATAAACATGTTCGGTAAACGTTGATTAGTGAAACAGCTAGACAAAGGTCTGTTTTCCAATTACGGGAGAGGATTTCAATCTCGCGTCTAAACCCAGTGCGGGTTTGTGGCAACAATTTATTTGAATAATTGAAATAAACCAATATCAAAAAGTATATTTTTCCATCACTATGTATTGGTTGAAATGTAGACCTTTAGTTTTGACAAATATTAGTTTTATTTTTAGTTTAATAAATTTTTCACTCTATTTATAATATAAAGATATGATTTGCTTTGTTTCAATAATTTAAAAAGTGAAAAAATATAATCCTTCAGTAATAAATGCTCAATTTCATTTGTTTGTTACGTACTTGATAATAATTGTTTGTGCAGTTCGCCTCAAGGGAAAACGTCAATTCATGGTTTTGCTAACCTACAAAATAGGTGATTATTTAACACAAACTGAGTTTTGGTTCGAGTTAAATGATTTAAATATGGGTCACTTAAAAAGATAGGAAAAATCGTCTCGTAATGTTGACGCAATTAAATTTACTAATAAAAGTAATTTCAATAAAAATCTGTTTGTCGTTCTGTTCTTATATGTCTTTTATGTCGAGCCTAAATAAATTTATTTAGGCGATCCGTGTTAAAGAAGGGGAGGATTTCATATCGTTTGCCATAACATGTGATTTAGTACGGAATATTATTTGTGGGTAGGCAACTTTTTTGCTCACCTGCCGTTATTAAATGTATCTGATCGGGGTTTAGGTTTAAAATTAAGTAATATAATATAAAAGAATATCGATGTATTTGGCGATAAATAATGATAATATTTTATTTAATACGTATTGTTAATTGTTGTTTGTCAGTAATTTTACATAATTAACTAGTAGACTTTATAATACTATATAATATGTAATAACATACAATTTTACGGGGATATATATAAGTAAATATATAGTTTATTAATATTTGTTTTGAAGGAAAATTTTCAGTTATTTTACGACCCGCTTAATGCATTGAAGGCTCTCAATTTTTGGCAAGTTTTAAAGGCTTATAATATTTTCAAGTACACATATTTTAGACTAAATTTTGTATGAGCTCGAAAGGGCTTCATATCGCTGGGAGCTAATTTATTTATATTAGCTTGGTTAGATGCCTTAGTAAGGTAAAGTAAGGTGCTAGGATAAAAATAGAAGTAACTCATTGACCTAATTTTGTTCGCTAAGCTTTTTTCTCGCTAGCATTGATTGAATATGTTTTAAAAAATAAACTCATATCTTAATATTTTAATATAATTTTCATAAGAAACTTACCATTGCCTACGACTCTGTCCATAATATAACATATTGACTAGACGTAATTCTTGCTAAAGTACAATTCTACAGCGTCAAAATAATCATGTTTCCCTTGCGTTGTAACAATTTTTTTGCCGTTTTATAAGTCGTAACATGATAGCTAATAACCAACAGCCTTTCTTTATATATCTACTCTTAAATAATTAAAGATATTTACAATTTTCCATTCAAGGAAATCAGCTGGTTTAGGTGAACAAACTAATACTTCAGCTTTATAATATTAGTATAGTACTTTTAGAAATAAGAAGCAGATATATTAAAAAAGAAACAATTTTAACACTTGACCAAGCTATTTAGTCTCGAAAAGTAATTTTAACAACAAAATTAATTAAATAGAAAGAACAAAATCCTAAACTTAATAATTATTAAACGCTTTAACAAAACTACACGACCGGTGTTTTCATTACGAACGCCAAGAGACAAGAGACAAGTGACAAGTGGCGGTTTGAATGCTTCTTTTATAAACAATCGTGTGGGTAGTTCTTTTATAAATAATGACAGTGGTAAGCTGATTGCTTATACGGCCTCTCCTGACATAGTGGCGTCCTCGACACGAGCTTTTCATTGATCGTCACTTGATCCAGCGCCATCCGCTTCAACGTCTTCGTCCAGCAACGGTATCGAAAGACTGACCCCTGGCTGTAGTAGAGAACCGCTGGGACCAGTAGTATAGAGCCGCTGGGACGCTAACGGCTCCAAGCTCTGAGGTCACATTGAAGGAAGGCATCGAGGGTCCTATCCCCGAAGATAGTGCTCTGTCCGGTGACTCGTCTTCACTATTATTCTCATCAGCAAATCTGTTACTGTTATTAGGAATTAAGTTTAGTCTGTGTGACATTCAACCTTACAAACATTCCATCCATCGTTATTCAATCAATTCAAACTTCATCTATCACACAATCATAGCAACACGTATTTTGCCACCCTTTAAATAATAACAGAGTCGTTTCTTAAAACGACAAGTTGAGTATAGGTGCTCGTCTTCACGGCAGTAGACTCCATTCAGTATAACTGAACTTTCATGAACGCCTATACAGTATGTCTGTAGTCCAACGAACGCCAAGACAATACGTCTGAAGTTCGAAATAGACGCCAAGGCCTTGAGCCTGAAGTCTCACCACTGAACGCCAAGGCCAAGCTGGCCTGTAGTTCTTACATCAAAGAAATAGACGCCAAGGCCTTGGAGCCTGAAGTCTTAACACTGAACGCCAAGGCCAATCTGGCCTGTAGTTCTTACATCAAAGATATAGACGCCAAGGCTTTGAGCCTGAAGTCTTAACACTGAACGCCAAGGCCAATCTGGCCTGTAGTTCTTACATCAAAGAAATAGACGCCAAGGCCTTGAGCCTGAAGTCTTAACACTGAACGCCAAGGCCAATCTGGCCTGTAGTTCTTACATCAAAGAAATAGACGCCAAGGCTTTGAGCCTGAAGTCTTAACACTGAACGCCAAGGCCAATCTGGCCTGTAGTTCTTACATCAAAGAAATAGACGCCAAGGCTTTGAGCCTGAAGTCTTAACACTGAACGCCAAGGCCAATCTGGCCTGTAGTTCTTACATCAAAGAAATAGACGCCAAGGCTTTGAGCCTGAAGTCTTAACACTGAACGCCAAGGCCAATCTGGCCTGTAGTTCTTACATCAAAGATATAGACGCCAAGGCCTTGAGCCTGAAGTCTCAACACTGAACGCCAAGGCCAATCTGGCCTGTAGTTCTCATATCAAAACTCGTGCATACTCTTAAAGAAGGCTGCACATGACTCGGGACACCATCGCCACGCCAAGGCACCATGTATCGTGCCGCAGTTTGTGTAGTCTCCCCGTAGCTGCCACTCAGTAACTTGAGCTCATATCGTCCGTTCAATAGAGCTTTCACGACTCGGTAGGGTCCACGCATTCCATCTGAAGTACCCAGCCAGCCCTAAGAACTGGCGCACCTGTCGAACACTTTAGGGGATCTGTGAACTTACAAGAGCTTCGACCTTATGTGGGCTCGGCCCTACCTGACCCTGACTTACAACTCGTCCAAGATATTCAACCTCCGTAGTTAAGAACGAACACTTACGTAGGTTTATAGAGAACCCAGCGGTAGTAAGCGTTTGGAGGACTTTTTTTTAAAAAGAGAAATACTTTCAACGATTGTGGAGCTCATTATGAGGACGTCATCCACGTAAACCAGGACCTGACCTGATTCTTCTGGGGTAACGAACCCAGTCGATCGATTCAAAACCCGAAAGTCAACGTATAGGCGGTCCAAACCATCCTTTTTCTTAACGAGTATGACCGGACTCGCGTACTGTAAGTTTGACTCCCTGATAATTCCTTTTTCCAAAAGCTCGTCTATAATTTTGCGGACTCGGAGATTTTCATTGTAGGAAAGCTTATAGGGTCGGTAACCCACTGGGGTTGTATCCGTTAATTGAATATTCATTTCGCCGGTGTTAACAGTAGTTGTAGCTGTTCCAGCGATAAGAAACTCTGAGAACTCCTTTATGATTTTAAGCAACGATTCATAACTCCCTTAAGGGGCGTGTTTATCTCAAGACACCGTACCGTGTTAATTTGAATAGGGGAAACAGTAGACCTCGTCAAATATTGATCATCTTTAGTGCGAATATACATGATACCATCGCGATTTAGTATATCCGTTCCTGCAATAATCGGTGCGTTCATACACGAAGAAGGGACTATAAGCAGATTCGCCTCAATTGAAATTTGACTTAACTCGAGAGTAACGGTCACATAAGCTTTGACTACTATTTCTTTTTCGCTTATACCCTTTAAAACACAGTTGGTAGACTTCGGTTGGCTGGCAAGGTACCTCAGCACGTCCGAGGAAATAAGTGACACGTTAAGAGCACCGCTATCAATGATAGCATCCATGGGAATGCCATCTACCACAACAACAACAATATCACTTGCACCCGTATTTTTAGAATTATTCTCCGCGCAAAGGTTAACGTTTCTCTCGTTTCGCTGTTTAGAACAATTTTTAGCAAAACAATCTTCTTCCTTGTGTCCCGGCTTTTTACAAACAATGCATGTAATACTGCTCGAGTTTCTAGCGGAAAGTGTTTTATTATCTGTGCTTGGCTTTGAGTGACAATAACGGCTAATATGTCCCTTACGACCAATACGAAACACTTCTGTTCGTTACGATTTGGTTGATTAAAATTTCCATTAGTTACCGAAGTGTGGGTGGATAGTAGTTTTCGCACGACCTGGTTTAGTATAAATTGATAAAAACGAAACTATTGTTTCCGGATTCAAATGTGCATTAGCAGCGGCAGCTCTTATTTGAGGATCGTCAATACCGCGGATCACTATTAAAGTCATAAGGTCCTCACTTAATCCGTTAACTATTCGTAAACGTAAAAGAGTGCGTCGTGCGTATTCTGCATAGGTAACGTACTTATCAGATGTGGTATTCATAGTTTGAAAAAGGATGTTAGCGTAATCTAACTTGCGTGGGCATATTGATTTGAATTCGCGTTTGAAATTTGTCCACGTGCGATCGGTCGTGACCCATTCGTTTAGCCAAATTTTTGAGTCACCCTTGAGACACGAACCAATACGAGATAGACACTCAGAATCAGTCCAACCATTTGTCACCTGAGCGCGATCAACCTCGTCGCACCATGATTCTATGTTATGAGTAGAAGGATCAAAATTTGAAATAAAGTAATTGTGTGACCTGATTGGTTGCAATAATTTGAGAGCATCTACTAGGGCCCTGGTTGAGTCGGGCGTGTCTGAATCTAAGTTACTTACTTGTGGTGTAAATGTGCGGGTATTCGGTAAACAATTTTTAGTTCGTGTGTCATGGGTACTCGCCTGAGGCTCCGGCGTGCAGCACCTGGACACGTTTGATTGTGATGTGTTCAACTCGCCATCGGTGGTATTACACGTAACACTGGGATCACAACGCACAATTGTTTTTTTTGAAACACTTGTTACGCAATTATTTTCTATCGACGTTAAACGATTCATGATCGAATTCAGTGTATTCTGAATAGAAACATCCGTGGTATCTTGAATGCGCGGGGACCGCGACCTATCGTTGTGGCGATTACGGTGGCGTACACTATCATGACGCGACGTATTACGAGTTCGCGTACGGCTGTTACTTCGAATTGACCGGCGGTTATCAGTTGAGGCATTAGAACGACTACGCGAGCGATATCGCGATCTACGACTCGTACGGCTGCGAGAACGATGTCGCGACCTACGCTCATTACGGCTAGATCCGCCAGCCATATCAAAATGAACACGAGAACTATAAATAAGTGTAAAAGACTTTGTTCCTCCTTTCTTGTGGGCAAAAAGTTACTTATCCCACTTCTGATTTTAGAAATAAGAAGCAGATATATTAAAAAAGAAACAATTTTAACACTTGACCAAGCTATTTAGTCTCGAAAAGTAATTTTAACAACAAAATTAATTAAATAGAAAGAACAAAATCCTAAACTTAATAATTATTAAACGCTTTAACAAAACTACACGACCGGTGTTTTCATTACGAACGCCAAGAGACAAGAGACAAGTGACAAGTGGCGGTTTGAATGCTTCTTTTATAAACAATCGTGTGGGTAGTTCTTTTATAAATAATGACAGTGGTAAGCTGATTGCTTATAGTACAATATTTATCTATCTCAAAGCTAAAACAAGTGGATATAACGGCTTTTTATATAAAGTTCGAGTAATGAAAAATACATAAATTTTAATTTAGTTCACAATATGTTACATAAAACTTATAGAAAGGATATTTTTGTATCATGACTGTAACAATAATTAATTTCAAATTTTATTTGTAATGAAAAACCTCAACTAAATCACAGTTTAATTTGGAATTAAGCTTTAAATAAGGTTAACCTCGAACACTTAGTTAGAGTTATATCTCTAATACAAATTGTAAACTTAAACAGCCTAAGGGCTTGTACTAATTAAGTCCGGATGGCTTGAATGTCAGGCTTGGTATTAAACAAGACTATTTACGGCCTCAGATATTCCTCAATATATAACAGGAACGCTCAAGTATCTAGCATCTTATCTGATTTAAATTATACGACTCTCTATGATTGCTTATTTTTTCTATAATATTATATATTCTACGTTAAGTGCAAAGAAAAAAAAACTGGACTTATTCAAAGTATAAGTTTGAAATCACCAACCCGTCTTGAGCAAGCGTGGTGACTTATGCTTCTTACCATACCATATGAGAGGAGGCCTTTACTCAGCAGTGGGCTCTGATAGACTGATGATGATCATAATGCAACTATATTAATAAATTGCTGTAAAAAAATATATATTCAACATTTTTTATTATATGAGGACTTTAAATATTTTCAAATATCTTTCAAAATATAGAGTTATGTTTTTTATAGAGATACTATTTTTAATAAATCGCATTTAAATAGTTGAGTTACTTATAAATTCCATTTTGGTCAAATTTATATACACTATCATATAAAACTGAGTAAGTTTGATAGAAAAACATTTCATAGTGGACACGGTAACTAGTTCGATTAATTTCCCCTCAGAAATGCATGGGATTCCACCGCACTTTGATTACACGGCCTTTTGTTATCCAACCTAAAGAGAGTAAAGGTTGTATGTACATGAAATTTGAAAATCAGAAACACAGACTGCCTACTAATATCGATGTTTTTGTTAATTTATATATGTCCTAAGTGTCATACTTTTGTTTAAAAAACTTTAGTTTCTACTTTCTAGTATTACTTATGCAAAATATATTTTTACATAAATTGTTAAGATATAATTCACATATAATATATTTCGTGCGTGAATATAAAAATATAGTTAATATTTTTCTTTCAAAATAAATCAGCATAAAGTAAATTTCGGTTATTCAATTACTCCATACAAGTTAAGAACAACTTGTATGCTAAGTTTAACGTCTATTCAAAGTTGCTTTTATGTGGATTCTGAGTAGAAATTACGTACATACTTCCTAACTGTATGTTGAATTACCTATGTACACTTCAGAAGCAATTCGTTCTTTCCGTTTATATAAACATTGTGGGAAGCTTATTACTTAGTTTATTTAAATTAATATGAAGAACTCCTTTTAAATAACCCATAGGAGATTTTCGTTTTGGAAAAAAAAGAAACGTTTATAACGCACTCTTAATTAAAACATTGCAATGAGAAAAGTCTTTATATATATGTTACCGTTAATAAAATTATAATTTTCTTACGAATAATCGTCGAGTATCCTACAAACGATATCCTTTAAATCATTTCAAGGTATTCTGTGAATGTGTATGCATTTGAATCGTCACTAAACACTTCAGAAGCCCGTATTGAAACTCTCAAGAGGAATTCCCTGAGGAAAATCACGCATAATAGCTTGAAATAGGCCGTCAGATTGCTGTAAAAAAGTTCCAACCTTAACTTTCGCTTTGCGTTATAGTAAATTGTAAGGTATTGTCATTCGTTACTGCCGTCAGAATATCAACGAATTTAAGACTGCTAGGTTCATGCTACGCAACAGTTAATAATCCACGTAACATTACCACGGACTTGATTTAAATATTTGTATGAATATTAATACATTCAAATATTATACGAACCTTTCATTGGTTTCTTTATACAATAAACAGTTCCGTTTAATTTTATAAGCTTGTATTGTTATTGCAATTTTAGGAAACCAAATTAATGCTAATAATTTTTGGTTATGTAATACCATAATAACTATTATAGTATTTAATGATATATAATCTTCAGAATATAGTTTACATATATTTGTGGTTTTATATGATAATTTAGTATAATATTTTATAAATATAGCATATGTATTTACAATCAGAACTTTGCAGTATACATTGATACAGTATACAGAAGTGATGAATACTTGGAATTTATAGTGAATATTTGAAAGTAACAAAATTATTTAATGTAGTAATTTGTCAAGAAAACCATATGTCATTTCTAGTACAATATATTTTGTTTTCATTCAAATTAATCCCACCATTGATTCTCTGAGATGAGCTAGCCAGACTATCTAACGACGCCTTGCTTGTAGCTGTTCATTTCAGAAGAGACAATTTCATCTGCAAATCGTAGATGAGAAATGTGTACTTTATTCATAGTGATACAGTGTCTTAAATATGTTTTCCACGTCGCTGAACACTTTCAGTGTATGACGTCACCCTGTCACAGTCTGTTGGTTACGAATTTGCATCGTCACTATTGCGAAATCCTTAAAACATGTTATCAGTTTAAAGTATCGTGAATCGACTTAACATTGGAAGAAGTACGGAATAAATCTGCTTTCAACCGATTTTATATATTGAATGAATGAATCAATGAGACACTTTTATGGATTATGTTGTATAGTCTTCTGTTTAATTTGCTACTCTGATGGTGTTATCTATGGTTAAAAGCTATTTAGCAACCCAGCCTGGTCCGCAGACTGGAGCTTGGTTAGTCTATAGTCACTCAAGAGGATTAGTTAATTTTCTCAAGTGGTTGTACGAACATGTTAGACCACTTGTTTGGATAGATTTCTTGATATAAGTGTTTTAAAGCACCTGTCGTTGCCTCGTACTCATTTTCAGACCTTTTTGTTTAGGACCCGTTATTCTTACAATGTTGAATCAAGATAATGCTGTATGCGCACTTACCTATGTATATGTCTCATTACTCATAATTATGGTTCTTCTTTTGTTTAGACCGTAGACCACTAAGACGAGTTTCTGGTCTACACTGTCAGTGGTTTCTAAACTGGTTGAACTTAATATAATATATGGGCTATAGACAATTTAGGAGTCATATTCTCATTTAAATTTTCCCTTAGAAGATAAGATCGTATAATGTTAGCAGTCAAAACCTATTATCTTAAAGAACCTATTGTATACAGAGTTTTGTCTCCATTCATTTATTATTTAGTGCTACATTTATTTTGGCATCTTGATTGAGTATTTCAGCTAAATTTCTAGCCTCAGGTATAAATATCTATATATTTTCCTTTTAAATTGATTTTTAACTTTAATATTTATTTTGTTTAAATTGCTCTAATTATTGTTAATAATAAATATCGTAATAACAGATATTTTACGCTAAAAAGGATATAGTACGTTTTAAGTCGCTCAATTAGTAGTTATTTAATAAACAAAGGGCTTATTGAGTTGAGTTTTTAAAATTAATAAATTATTCTGTTTTACAGAATCTTAATGTTTTCTCGATTAAATATTAATAAAGATAAATTGTTAAATACATAAAGATAATTTTTATATTTAATTTTATATCGTAAATCGGCAATGTTTTTAATTACGATCAAAACAATTCATCGGTTTTTAAGTACATATGCAACATAATTTGGATAATTTTTGAATACTATTTAGTAAGTATATATAGATACTATATTATGACAAACTTATAGGAACAAACTATTTTAATTTCGGTAAATTCTCTACTGGCTTAATATAACAAGGTATAAAGCATTTTAAGAATTTAGATTGTAAAACGTACAACATCCTGTACATTTATATTGCTCCAACAAAGAAGTTTCAACAAATTAGTAGCGTAAATGAACAACGTCTAGAAAAACAGATTGCATTTTTTAGTACCTGACGAGTTCGTTTTATTAATTAGTTTAAATTGCTAGAGTTAAGTTAACTACTAGGGCTCCCGGAGTGGTTTAGCAGCCTTGTCCACAAAAACTTGTAAATATCATGTTTGTTGTATCGGAGCCATTCTAAATGTTAGAATTTTTCTTGGTTGTTTTTGTATTTTAAACTAATGTGTTTCGTATTATACTACGCGAATTTATTTTTGTAATGTAGTTTTTATTTATAACAGAAAAATAATTGTTTCATTTAAATGAATAAAACTCAAAAAAATCTTGGATCTCATTATGTTTTAGTATTTGATATTATAAGGTCAATAAAAATATGAATTCTTAAGTCATTTGAACAGAATAACACTATCAGAATTCATACAATACAGCCTGGTGCCTCACAGATTGATGGAAAGAGAAAAGTCTTAGTAATAGATTCCCGTTTTACCCTTGAGGTACGGAACCCTAGAAGTTACATATACAAAATTCAACAACACGATAACTCCAACAGAATTGTTCGTACACTTTCTGTCTTTATAATATGAACAAGAATCTCTCGATCTGCGATCTTCCTTCCGAATACACACAAAGTAATGAAATGGTGAATAACCGTTTTCCTCTACAAATCTATTGTGACTACAAATGGATTTGTCG